ATTCCTCAGCAGGTATGGCCTGAATGATACAGATGATCTCACTTTTGAGGTTTGTGATTGTCCTGAGGTCATTCTCATACATTTTTTCCTTGCCGTATCTCCAAAGGTAGGGACATTTTGGACGATGAGTACAGGTGGCCCGACAGCGCAATAGTGGCCACTAGGGCATGTTCTGTAAAGTGATGTAACATTGTGACTATCAATCTGATGGTCATGAAATAAAGTGAGCTGGTAGGAAATTGAATGGTGTACAAATGTGCAAAATATCAGGGAGTAATTTCTCAAAATGACAAATATATGAGGAAAATGGTGTAAGGGTTTCCATTTTTTGACCACCCTGTAAAAGTATATAAAATGAGCACAGCATAGACAACAATAGAAACTTGTTTTAAACAAGAGATGAAGTGAACAGAATAAAGCACATATAAAGGACTAGAAAACAACATGATTAACTATTGGACATAATTCAGATTTAAAAAAAATATGAAAATGACCATGTTCACGATGCCCATGTCAAGCAGCGTGCCTACTAGGCACGCAGTTTGAAACTCTGGCAAACTGCGCGCATATTTCAAAATGTGAGACGGGGAGGACACGACTCCCAAAAAGAGCCAAAATACGAAAAATACAAGGTTAGTCTCGTTCTAAAGATAGTACCATTCTGTGAAGATGAACTTAATTTACTCAAAGTACTCAATGTTTTTCCCGATGTAAACCTAGTTATCTCAATATAAGGGTCTTAAGTAACTTCTGTGTTCAAAATTTACAGTGTAAAGTTATATCTATGTCTTTTTATCGTCATTTGCCGTTTATTCAGCCATTGTGTCTGTGTATGCTAGAATATATAGGATCACTCCATCTGATTAAATCAGCAAGGTTTGTGTTCAAAACGATAATACGCCATAAACGTGATTTAAACATTTTTCTTGCGCGCCTATATTCACATGTATTTCCCAAACTGCGTGCCTAATATTTCCAAACTGCTTGCCTATCCAAGCTTGTTTTGTATTATTAGAAAACATAAGCGCCATACAAGGCACATATGTGTCTAATAGTAGAACCCCATAATTGAAACACTATGAGAGTCCATCCACCAAGATGGTGATCTGAAAATAAAAGTTTTTTTCGTTCCCAACTTAATTGTCACTTCTATTATACATTTTGACTTTCAATATGAAAATCTCATAAAATGTGACGATAAAGCAAAATTTCCAAAGCTACATGAAAAACACCTACACGTGCCTCTGTAGAAATTCCAATGATATATTTTTGTTAGTTTGGTTGAACCACTTTTAATGTATGCCTCTGAGATATGGTATAGTAAGAAGCATGTAAAAGCTATAGAAGCAATACACTTATCATTCCTTAAATGTTTGCTTGGTGTGAAAAAATCAACAGCTACACCGGCTGTTTATGGGGAGCTAGGACGTTATCCTTTAAAAATTCGTTTCAACATTAAGCTGATTAAATATTGGCTGCGTTTAATGAAATTACCTGAAGAAAATATGCTCAATAAATCATATTTGTATGACCTTGAAATGAATGGTTTAGGTTACTCTGGCACTTGGTCCAGTAAAGTTATTGACATATTAAAACAATGTGATTTATTCTCTCATTGGTTGACTCAAAATGTTGAAGATGATTATATATTTATTCAAATGATCACAAAGAAATTAAAAAGTAACTATGCACTTCAATGGAAACAGGATATTCTTACTTTTCCTGTTCTTAGAACTTATATAAAATTCAAAAATACTTTCACCAAAGAATTATATTTAAACATTCAAAATAAAAAGTATAGACATGCATTAACTAGGCCCAGGATGAGTTCACATAAATTACAGATAGAAGTTGGGCGGTACTCAAAACCAAAGCCAAAACCCACAAGTGAAAGGTTGTGTAGTGAATGTGGGGTAATTGAGGATGAGCTTCACTTTATCACAAGCTGTACAAAGAACTTAAAACACAGAGAGCTTTTGTTTGAAACTTTAGAATCTGATCTGAAACAGTGCAAAGATCCAGATAAACTGTTTGAAACTATTATGTCTAGTAAAAGCTCTCATGTTAACTTATATTTAGCCAAATTTGTATATCACTCTTTTAAAAATTTGGAAAATGTTTAATATTATGTAAACTTTTTTTTTTAAACACATGTATTATGGATACACCACACTGATATCATACCCTGACATGTGAAACTGATGTAAAGTAGTTTTGTAGTATGTAGTTGTAGTTTGTAGTTTTTTTGTACACTGTAGTGACTGATATGTCATTTACATGACATGGTTATTGAGTCAATAAAAGATATATATATAATATGTAGTTTTAATAGTGTATGCGCACAGTTTGTAATTTCTGACTAAAATAGGCGCGCAGTTTGTGATTTATTTCTTTTTAATCTCCTGATTATCTGTTTTATCTCGAAATATTTTGAATTATACATGATAAATGTGTAAGGAATTAAATATAAAACGAGTCTAAAGTATTTGTCATTTATGTTTAAAGTGTCTCACATATTCGATCAAAATTTGCCATGCAAACATGTTAGTCTACTTTACTGGCCCCCCTTGCTGTAACAAGGAACCCAAAACACATTAAAACGTAAACATAAACCAATTAGTCACTTCACTATGAAAGTGGGGGTGTTAGCAAATGTATATTAGCAGAATACGCTGTGTGCAAAGAGGAGGGAAAGCCCCAGAGTTTCAAGATAACAGACATAATTACCTCTCTTTCTTACCACCTTCGTTCGTTCGAATTTTCATCGGCTAGTTATCAAATACTACACTTCGATGGGATGTTATAATTGATATAGGCATATTCCGTACACCTTTCTTTATCTTGATGTGAAATGAGAAGCTATGATATTGGTTAACACGCCAGAAATGAACATAATATTATTCGAAGCGTATTTCGAAAATTTTGAAACCGCCATTGATGACGTCATTTGTTTGTCGACTTTTGACCAATCAGCGACCGTGTCATCTCAATACAGATTAACATTATAAGCGTATGTCATCTTTGAACCCTGGTGTTTCTCCCCCTCTGCTGTGTGCATGAACTAGGCCATAAGAAGTAGATTCTTTGTTTTGCGTCCCCTTGCAATTGCTTGCACGATTTTGAGTAAATCAGAAAAAACAAACACACCCAAATAGCAATCACAAGGGTCTAAAAGTACCACCGCATTTCGTTCAATCGGAATCAGACAAAATGGCGGATAATTTGATGTGCGTCAAAATTAACAGTGTTATTGATTACTTTGGCATATATTGTGTATTTTCTTATTTTTTTACTATTGAATAATAGCTATGTTTAAACATATTGCATAAAATGTATAGATATGTGTTTGTAATCACCGCAAATTGGTATGTCATCGCTTTTTATGCCCCTAAACTGCATACATTTCTCAGCAAACAAGTTTGTGTTTTTTCTTGAGTTTGTGTTTGTTTTCCTTGTACCCTTGCATGATTTGGATTTTGCCAGGACGCAAAACAAAGAATCTACTTCTTATGGCCCTAACACAATATCAGTGGTCATTTACTGTGCCAACTTAGTAACCCTTGCATATCGTGCTCACTCAAGTATTGAATAATTTTTTTATGATCTAAATGTTTGTGGTTTATAAAAAATGTGATATATTTTAGTTAGAAATACATTAATTAATATATTCATTCAAACAGCACTAGAATGCGGGAAGAAAGAGCAATGGTGACAAAATGCAGACAGAATTTTCTGTAAGGGTTTCAAACATTTCTGAACACAATCATACATGTACTTCATTTGTACTGTTATTTTTAGTGCTGTATTTATAGATATAATTTCACGTATTAAAATCATATTTTCCAGCAATGACTTCAAATTCGGAACCACACCCATATCACATTTTCTTCAATAACTCCAAACATGTGTAAACATTGACCATGTGCATATAAATTCAGATTTCACGAGCTCTTTCCTATTCGAGTACCTCATACACCCCTGCATGGATTTGAGTTGGATTCGCCTTTTATACATGAGCCGACACACTCGCAAACGCTGATTGGATAAAGATTGCGAGAATCTTTAAAGTGCAAGATCGATTTACGTATAAATTCCCGTTAAATCAGTGACGAAAATGCCATTAATCTGCTTATGTTTTAAAACTTAGATTCATTTGCACATAGTTTTTGCTAGTATTTGCAAGATTCGTATATTCGCCACAGAATGAACGCATTGAACAAGAAAACAGTGCAGGATAAATGTCTTTAAATTACGTTTCAAAATACAGACTCCAACTTAAATGATGCAATGTTCTTAGGCACGCAGTTTGTGATCGAAACAAACTGCGCGCCTAAGTACGCGCGCAGCTTTACATGGGCACCGTGATGTTACATGCCACATAAACAGTTGTCCAAAGCTACTTGTTTTCTTGTGACAAATGTGACTGGGGTGTTATCAACAGAAATTTAAAATTCACCGTGCGGCTGCCGTGGGAAATGTGACTGCAAAGGTATGAGAGCGCAGAAATTCCACGGCGAGCGTAGAAATGTTACTGGCCGCAGAAATGATAGACCGCAAGGTCGCCGTAGGAAATGTGACTGGGGTGTAAATAATACGTTTTCATTTTATTTACATCGGGACAATTGGGGGAAGTGTATATTATATTCAAAAGCTTCCTAATATTATCCTAGCACGATCAATCAGATTTAATATAAAATATTATTTTGCATTATCGGTTTCGAGGATCTGTTTGAATTGACATTTTATAAATTGCTAAATTGTGTTATTTGAGAGGATATTATAGATATTTATGAGGCAATCTGATTACATATACTGATAAGGACTTAATGAAGTTTAATGCCTTCTCATGTGGTTCTACAAAGGCTGTTCACAGATCATTAATTCTAATATCTATAAATTAATTACACGGGCATAACACATTGCTAAATTTTAAACAAATACCTAGTCTCATTTTTATATATTATTTCACAACTTATCATACAACGGTACGTACCTAAAACATGCAGCGTGGACTCATATACGGGTTGGCAATTCTTTTCCTATGCTGTTTCTCAGATTCTCGAGCTGAGAAGGTGGAAGAAGCAATACAACTCTTGATTGAAAAACTAAAAATGGATCTGAAAGAAGATTCCTCTAACATTTATAAAGACGAAATATCCAATCTAAGGGATGATGTCTCTAATCTTCGAGGTGATGTGTCGAATCTACGAGATGATATGTCGAATCTACGAGATGATATGTCGAATCTTCGAGATGGTGGTCAATCGGATGTCAGAGACAATGTTTTTGAAGTGATGAAGCAGTTGAAGGAACGCACATATTTCAACAACACTAAAAATGATACCGACCCTAAGGATGATTTTCCAGTTTTCTCAGACGGTGAGGCAAAGCTACTTATTTATCTTTGGTCACGTGATTTATATTGATGCTTAAAGGGACTTGGTAAAATTACTACGTTGACCAACAATTAAAGTCTTTACATTTTCGTATTAGAAGGGTTTATTCGTTTTGAAGGGGTGTACGTATTGAACATTTCGTGCAATACAAAATAATTCCCGGTTTTCCTAAATGCTTGCTACTAGACTAATCTTGATTGACCAGTTGGTCTGTTGGCAGAATTGTTGACTCTGAAGCGGCAGGTCGCAGGTTCGATTCCTGAAGGAATCATTCTGTTTTTACTTTTTGGTTGTAGGCTCGCTTATTAGAATACTATTAGTGGATAATCCTAGTATGTTACAATAACATGATGATCTACAAAATTAGAAGGTTTCTTTCCAAAATATTATTCAAAATTTGAATTTTTTAGAAATGTGTCTGTTTGATGTTTTAAAGTCAATATTAACTAATAGAAGTCTACAATATTAGAAATTTTCAAAGTGGACTTTTTGATAAAGGGACACTTTAGTGAAGCCATATTTACTGTGGTTTATATTGGCAGCCAATGGGGATTTTCCAAAATTCAAACGCTAATATCTTTAGAACTGGGCAAAAGAAAAAAACAATTCTTCTTATTTTGAAGATCATCTTGTTATTATAACATACTAGGAATATGGGCTTTATTACTCTAGAACTGTTATGCAGGGGGTCTTTTAAAGATTGATAATTAGATATCAAAAATAAAATTCTCTATATTTCCCAGATAATGCCCCTTGGACTTTGTTTGGACCCCTGTTTGGACTTTTGGACCGGCCCTTAAGAGGGGGGTTCGAGTGTCTCATATTTAAGAACATTTGTTGAAATCAATAATGCTGTTGACACCTCACCAAAACTGAAAAGGTGTGTACAAACAGTGGGCGGATAGATACCAGGGTGTATTAATGTAGTATTATTAATGCAGAAGGATATTATTTTGAGTATCTTTGTTGAGTTTTATCTCAAATAGGATTGCGCAGTTGGATTTAGTTTTTCAGATTTTCAATATGAGTTATGACGTCAATATGGGCTCAAATCCTGGACCAAGTGCAACTACCATGGGGTAGGAAACGTGTGATTACAGAAAGTTCTACCAATTAATCATTCTGAAAATTCCCTGCTGTATAGCCATATATGAATTATGTAAACTGTGTAAAAATTTCAAGTGATTTCCTCTTCTTAAGAAAAAGATACAGCATTTTTATCAGAACTTCTGATGCATTGTACATTTACATGTACCCAGTAAGTCGTGCATGTAATCATGTACGTATCTTGGTGTCTAATCATCCACGACATGTTGATATGTATATGTATTGGTCTGATGAATCATGGCGCAGTATACGTTTTCAATATTTATCCAAAATATATACTCAAAACTACATCAATACATGAAAATATACCTTATGAGTAACATCTTGAATACGTATTTGCATTATAAATTATGTAACTTAGCTTTAGACTAATGCCTGGGTCACATTTGCTCCGATTCATCGGCCGGCGCCCGGCTGATTGAGTATTCTCGTCAAAACTGTATACAATTTTGAATAAAATATTCAATCGGGCGGGCGCCGGCCGATGAATCGGAGTAAATGTGACCCAGGCATAAGCAAACATATAGATTATTGTTTAGCATGTGTTTCGACCGTCTTCTCACACCTATCTGAGCCAAACTTTGGTTGAGCCTATTTGTAGTCCCCGAGTACGGACATCCGTGCACTTTATATAGATTCGCAAACACTTAACCTGTTTTCTAAGATTCAAAGATGAATAACATTTATACGAATTTATTTGTATTTCCAGGTTGTAATAAGTCAGTAACAATGCTTCTAACGATTCAGGATCAATTAAAGACCTTGCGACAAAATTATTCGAAAGATGGTAGTTCTCGATCTGAAAGTCATCCAATTGATTTTGGAGGTAAGATTGTTAGGAAGAATTTATATTTCTTATCATACATTTACAGGATTCGTTGACATTCTTACGATTTGCCGTTTTGCTACATACGAAATTTGTCGGATGTCAAAATGGTTTCCTTTGACGCATCTTCATGTAATTAATGAAGTTTGAAACAATGGGCCAATTTACAATTATTGATATTTCAAAAATACAAAATTCGAAAATTAAGATATTTATATTGCAATGATTTTTTCTTGAATTACGAAGGAAACACATTGTATTTTATGAATTAGTGAGCGGCATAATTGGAACTACATTGGCATTTAGCAATTTTCAAAGAAACGAAATATTAACATATTTTCGTTGATTGTTCAATAAGTCTGGAAAGATTTTCAAATAAGATATTATTTATCACGCTTGTGAGTGTCAAACAAACAATAAACATGTTTCCTCTAATAGAAGTATTGAAGTGTAAAAAATGAATATGTATATCGAGTCAACGCTATCGTTTGAAATTATAAGCCTCAAATTATTTTGAACTCGTACATACGAAATTTGTCGGACGTCAAAATGGTTTCCTGTGACGCATCTTCATGTAATTAATGAAGTTTGAAGCAAATATACGGGCCAATTTACAATTATTGATATTTCAAAAGTGATAACTTAAGAAAAGGGCAAGATACGTTCATACAACTTCACATGTACAGACCTTCCTCGATCCCTGTCACTATAGGACAGCGTTTGTGGCTTTATTTAATACGATTTTTCCAGAAAAGGGTGTCTAATAATCAAGAATCCTTTGATACATCTGTATTGGAGGATACACTTATATTAGACTTTATTGATTATTCTAAGAGTACACCTTTTACTATGACCTGGTAAATTTTATAACACCATACATTATAAATAATGTTTTAAAGCAAAATATTTATTCATTTTCATTCCTTGATATAATGATTTAATATTGATTAAATACATTCTTTTGAACTTTGATATTATATAGATTATTAAGTTTTTATATTTGATCAGTTTTAAATTAAAGGAATATTCCTTGCCAAACCATCTCTCTCCTCATATGGTAGCTGTAACCATATATATGCTTGCTATGTTTAGCAAAACAAGCAAAAATGTTTTGATATGGTCAAATTTGATCACTTAGAAATGTGATGCTAAATTCCAGTAAGCTGCCATCTTTTAAAATTTCACACAGGAAGTGATGTCATCGACTCTCAACTTTGCATATAGCATTAGGTGAGGAGCTATTAAGAATTACAAAACCAGCTAAATATTCTTTTTCAACTTTGTATCTTATTTAATCCTTCTGAAAATCTCTTCTTTTATTCTAAGTTGACAAGCCCTGAAAATATTTTTGCACAGAAAGTAATGATCACTTGTCTAGAAGTGATTTTGTGCTACTTTCCTATACTATTATGGGCAAGGTTATAGAAGTTGAGAGTTGATGACATCACTTCCTGCAAGAAATCTTAAAAGATGGCAGCTCACTGGAAATAAGCACTAGATTTTTAAATGATCAATATTGACCATATTAAAACATTTTCCCATGTTTTGCTAAATATGGAAACTATATATATGATTATAGCTACCATATCAAGAGAGAAATGGTCTGGCAAGGAATATTCCTTTAAGAATGGACCGTGCTCACTAATGTCCATCTGACAAACTCTGAAATATTACGCTACACCTCGTGTTTGTGGCCAATCGTATTTGTTACTTATTCGCCTATCAGCATTTTTTGAATAAATATAAACAATGAATTAGGATTGTCAAAAGTTATTATACTCCCTATTTTTATGACAATATTGTAGATAACAGTAACACCAAGGAATCATCAAAATGGACCTTTTTGAAAAATGGACAGCTATTAGTCAGAGTGTCATAACATATCAAATGGACAAATTCGCCCTACTAGTTTTCTAGTAAAAACGTTTTTACAATTGCCACCTACTTGTCAACGTGTCATAAAACAGTATTCGCAAGTCAAATATGAACAAAATCGCTGGACTGCTTTTCCAGTTACAGCAAAAATTGTATAATAGTGTGTAACGGCGGCCGTTCTTTAAAAATGTATTGAATATTTTACAATCAAAATTACTTGGGATGGTGCTGTCGTTACCTTTGTCTGCTAAAAAGCAAAGGCAAACTACACTGTATCTTACTACAAATTATGTGTTGTATTAAATATGCAATCTCCTATATTAGGCAGCAAAAAAATAGAAAAATAGACCAAACTTATGTGTCCTATTGCTCCTTTATTAGGAAATTGTAGCAAGATATTTGGGACAGATAGTTTAAAGGAAGATATTGAAATTGTGAAGGAACAAATGAGGAAACTAGTAGACACTTGCAAGGCAGGACCAGATGAGAAAATAACTGAAGGTACCTATTTCTTGTTCTTTCCATCAATAGGTTTATCTCAATGAACGATTTCGTACAACTATCAATATACTCACTGGGGATCAACTGAAAACGAAGAACAGGGAGGATTTCTGCAACACCGCCTAGTCTGTGATTTTTCGAGGTAACAGTACTTGGCCTGCAGATTTCTGCTTCCTGACGCTTGCTTACATTAAAAGAATTCTACATAAGTGCCATCAACATCAACAACATCACTGTTCCCCAACTGGATGACTCTAACTGCAGTTAGCTTCATTCAAGATGGTGGACAAAATTCGTTCGTTTTCGATAAATCTCCAATTACAGCCAAACCAAGCTGAATCTTGATCCCAAAAGTTTCGCCATGCAAACTAATAAAGATATAATTGTAAACAACCACAAATAAAGGCTCAAGCACCCGTAATATTAGAGAAATTGAAAGAAAACAGCTTCACTTAGAATGACTCTAACTGAAGTTAGTGATGACGTAGGAATGAAGGTAACTGAAACGGGTAATGAAGCTAACTCAATGGGATGAATATATGGACGGCCCTGTCAGTTGTTATAAGATATCTAAATGTTATTGACTGTTGTTATTGGTTGTAGCCATTTGTATTTTGACATGGAGTGATTTTCGATTCAATCCCATGGCCGGTGATAGTAGAAATTGGACGGAGGGGGAGCAGACAAATTCTGGTAGAAATTTCAACAAATCTGGAAAATTTACTTTTTCAAGACAAAATTTAGTTTACGATTGAATGGCCAAATGAATAGGCTTACGGTATGGTAAAATATTGTAAGTATTCTAGGATTAAAGTATATGATGTAAAAGGCGAAATGCCGCAAACGTCCGAAAGTCAATGTTTTGCTAGTCAAGCAAGAATGGTCTACACGACCTGTAATTAAAAAACTTGTAAGTGACATTATCGTCACAAAATTAATGTCATTGCTGAGTAATTAAGTTCCCATACGTAATATGAAAAATAATTGAAGGGCGGAGGGGGGGGGCAATATTTCTATTATTCTTCTATTACTATTTTTATTTCTATTTAATTACAACTTCACGAAAATTCTTGTATTTCAAAAATGAACTCATAAAACGTACAATGTAATATGAAGCTGGATTTTACAGCTCTGAAGAATGAAAAATGGGGAATTTTAAGTTATAGGACTTCAAGTCTAGAAACATCTCTTATCATGTCTGATATACATAAATGCTCCCCGATGCTCAATAAATAAATGACTTATCCATCATAGATAATCGTCACATTTTTTCAAGTAGACTAAATGAAGTGGGAAAACCGACTGCGTTCGTATCGACTGTACGACAATATATACAGGATCATGTTCCCCCTGGGACTATTAGACATTAGTCAGTTACTGAACATGTCCCTCCATTAATTCACCCGTCCCCTTCTTGGCGGTACCAGGCTAGGCGTATACATGTACTGATAACATGCATACCAGCATACAAATAATTCAACAAAAGGGGTAGGCTGCATGATACTTCAAGACTTGAGTGACTTCGTTAAGATAAAGTAGCAAATGTAGGCTAATGACGTACTCTTTATCGTTATTTACGGTAGTCTAGTGTAAAACCAAACTTTCCATTAATTGAACAAATATTGTGCTTTTGTGTTATTCTATCAACAAGCTAAATGATTTTAATTTCTTGTCTCGGGCAATAATAACACATGTATTGAGCTGGAATTGATAAGTAATATACATTGACCAAAAAGGTTTTTACAACATTATATTCTGCATGACAATACTCGTATGCGAAATCATGGGCTTTCAATAGACAAACTTTGACCGATGGTAACCAGGTAACATAATGTAAAACCTAGTTCCTCATTGAAATATCCATGGTGTATGGCTTATAGAAGAAAATCAAAACGAACCTGCCATTTCAGTTTAGTTCAGTTTACCGTCACTACTCATACTAATACCAACTGTAGTCTATGGCGGATCCGGGGGGGGGGGCCCATGGGGCCCGCCCCTCCCCCTAAGGTTGGCCCAGAAAAAAAGTTGGGCCCAAAAAAAAGCCAAAGGCCCCAAAAAGTGGGCCTTTTGGTCATTATTAAGGCCTTATTTTTAAATTTTAGGCCAAATTTTTAAGAAAATGGGCCTCAAATTTTCAAAATTTTTTGTGTGATCCATTGCCAGTGTGATCTGTAGTATTCTTAACTACTGTACTATCCCTTGGAATGCACAGCCTGTGGGGGAACGAGTGCGGTTAATGTTTTCTTTAACCCTGACATGTACGCACCAACTACTTAATATTTACACAGAACAATTAACCACCAGTATCATGGGAAGGCATCATCTGTGGTCACGTGGTTACATAACAAGACAAAGCCCAGTGCGTATGACAAAACACAGTCTCTCACAAATAATCTAATTAATTAAGGAAATGTGTTCGAAGTTTAAAAAAGGGAGAATAAGAAGGTGAATTCTGTCATAGGCAATAATTTAGTAAACCGTATACACTTATATTATTTTGATAATGCACTGAACAAATAAAAATGAACATTGCCTTTAACTGCATGTCTTCAATATTCAGGTTGTTACATCATTGTATACAATATTGTTGCTTCACGATAAAAGAAACCCTTTTTATCCATCATTCGCTTACAATTTAGAATGATAATATTCTCTGGTGCTATTCGAATCGGGGGGGGGGGGTGCTTTTTGATAGTTTTGTTTAGAAAATCGTGCGAAAAGTGCTCAGAGTGGTGAAAACCTGCGGGAATTTGAAATAATTTCTGGCCAGGAAGGGGGAAACTACCGAACCTCCAGCTTCCCCTGGTTACGGAACTGCTTATTGGTAATTTGTATTGCCCATTATAAATCTCCATTCAGTTAGAGTCATCAATGGTGAAATCTGTGTTGGAGTTAGCTTCTTATCAACCTCAGTTAGAGTCATTCTAAGTGAAGCCGTTTTCTTTCAATTTCTCTAATATCGCGGGTGCTTGAGCCTTTATTTGTGGTTGTTTACAATTATATCTTTATTAGTTTGCATGGCGAAACTTTTGGGATCAAGATTCAACTTGGTTTGGCTGTAATTGGAGATTTATCGAAAACGAACGAATTTTGTCCACCATCTTGAATGAAGCTAACTGCAGTTAGAGTCATCCAGTTGTGGAACAGTGAACATGTGCGGTGCTTTTCATTTCTAGTATAAGATCGTTTAAAGGGGCAACAAGGCCTTATAGAGAGAAAATTCGAAAAAATTAACTTTCTGAGCTATCAGAGCAACATTTGTCTTAACATCTTCTTTGAAATCTGTTTTTTCATAAAATGTATGAATAAACTATCAATTTCAGCATAAAGAAGTGCGAATTCAGTTCAAAGCTTCTGTAAAGGGAGTCCCACCAGATTTTTAAGATCCACCGCGTTTCAAGAGGAATATCAGCTGTTCATCCAGGGGGTTTCTTTGTAGATAATAAAAATATATATGCTAGTCTTGATGATTTTGACACCGGTCCACGATCATAGAATGGCCCATCTGCAATAATTGTTGCACCTTTAAATGTATCGAAAAGGGTAGGCGCCCAGAGGTAGGGTAATTTTAAACTATTTTCCAGAACCATGTAACAATGCCACTTTGCCTAAATCAGAAGACTGCATTGGAAAATCTGATGATGTTCATATCATTATCACCAAAAGCGGAAACCCATTCCTTGCAAGATGCGAAGCTGGGTGGCTTATCATTGCACATCGTTACAATGGAAGTGTAGATTTCAATCTAGATTGGGACGACTACAAACATGGCTTTGGCAACATCCGAAAAGAACACTTAATTGGAATGGAAAACATTTTCTCTGTGCTGCAAAACAAGAAATACAAAGCCAGGTTTGACCTCATCTCATGGGAGGATGAGAAAAGATACGCAGAATATCAGACCTTTGACATTAATGATGAGCAAGACAAATACAGATTGAACATCGGTGGCTACAGCGGTACAGCAGGTGATTCTATGAAATCTTCAAACCATATGCGATTTACCACCGGAGATTCTGACAATGACAATAATAATAGTGGTAACTGTGCCTTGTCTTACGGTGGACCTTTTTGGTATGACAATTGTAACGGTGTTCAGGGGTCTATCTTTGGCGTGTACTCGAGAAGTCCAAGATGTTCGAAGCCATGGGGTTGTTTAACTTGGGATGCTTGGCCTGAAAAACGTCCTGGAGTTGATCACAATTACCTTTACTCTTTCAAAGAGGTTATGATCAAAATTCGACCTATTGAAATAGAACCTTTAAAATGACATTTTGACATGATCTTATTTAAAATATTGATTTAGGAATGGTAGATAAAACTTAAATACTCTAATTGGCAAGAACATTTTAGGACATTCTGACTTTACTTGTCTGATTTCAGAATTTTGTAATGATGAAATAAAATAAATTGAATGGATAAATCATGTTACATAATGTTTATTTATTACAAAATCTTTATTTGAAACAACAAAACGAGTCTGATGTACAATTGTTTTCACATATTATTGGGTTGCGACTTCAAAGAGAATATATTAACATATACGCCCACCCCTACCCCCATGTTGCTATAGCAACCAGATTAAGACTTAATATTAATGTTTGATTCTGAAACTTCAGGATATAATAGATAAAACTTCAATTATTATATACACAAAATTTCAGCTGAATTGAAGAATATTAAAGAAAGTTAGAGCATATAGTGCATTACTTCTGGGACAACCCTCGTAGCCATTGAATTAAACTACATATTACTGTTTTTCCTCATGAATACTTAGAGTGAAGTAAGAAACAATTGACAAAAAAAGTTTTTCGATTGAAAATTATAACTCTTTTCCCTTTAGAAAAGGTTATTGTTTCAACTTTGATGCAAATCTCCGAATAGAGAATCCCATCTTTACAAATGTGTATTGGAAATTTTGGACAAGAGTGCCATTCTTTTGACCCCAGTTTGCTCTATGTTACAAACAAATTCCTTTCAACCATTATGTAATATTTCAATAATAACTTGATTTATTAAGCTTTATCTGTATTTAAAATAATATAATACTCAAGGGGCGAGGAGGAAAATTCTCAATAAATGGTGTATAGTTGGTTTGGCAGCATTTTCAGTTAGGGGAGAGTCTTGGATGAAACTTCCACCTAGGTGATAGCTTCATAGAGTGGTAAGAAGTTCTTTTTTTGAGGAGTTAGCCCCCGTCCCCCAAAAACACCCCACCCGGGGAAAAAAATTGTTCACAGTTAATAACCTTACCCTACTATCACACCAAACTAGTTCTCACTACGTTCTCGAAAACGGGCTTCAACTGTGTACGAACGGACTGGACCTACTAAGAACCGTTTGGGATCTATTTACAAACGTCATCAAACGTCCTCGAACGGGTAGGCTCTCTGGAACTTAGACAATGCTCAAAATGTTCTCGTGGTCGTGCACGTTTTACAATTAGAACGAGTGACAACGTACTAACGACGAGCTGGACGTACTACGAACGGAACCGTCGTACTTCAATCCTACTAGGGATGTTTTAACAACGAGTTGAACTGTCTGAGGACGTGTTGAGAACGAGGTAGAACTAATTGCAAACGGGTTTAAACTGATTAAGAACGTATTTAACACTGCTTATGAACGAGTTAGCAAAAATATAGCTATCACACCAAACAAGTTGCCACTGCGTTCTTCAAAACTGGTTTTAAACTGTGTGCGAACGGGATGAACGTAGCTGCAACTTTCTAAGGTCTATTTACGAACTTTATGAACGTTCTCAGACGGGAATGTGATTTTAGAATTTTGAATCGATTCAAAATTCGATGGCGACCATACCGTTCTGTAATCAGGTCATGTTGACCTTCTAGACTGAGGGACGCGTTCTACTACGTTGCACACCGACGTGGTGCGACCTGAACGAACTGCGAACGAGATTGACGTATTGAAGACTGTTTAAGAACGAAGAAGCTAATTATTTCAGACATATTTCCCGACCACAGCCAGATTGAGCCCGTTTTACGACGTTTTCGTAGGACTGGCAAGAACGGGTAAGAACTAGTTTGGTGTGATAGGGGGTTAGATATTTTGATGTTTGTAAGTGACATACATAGATATTATATATATGAATCATTTGCAGTATAATTGATGCTGATTGTTCTTAAGAAAATTGAATATTAGTACAAAGTGTGTACCCCAGGGGGCAAATTCGTGACTCATTTTCTTACTATTTTGATCCTAACTTTTCAATTAGACACTGTAAGAAGTTGAAAAAATTCATGGGAAGTGCCCAATAGCAGGGTAAGTAAACCTGAAAGATGCAAAGCCATTGAAAAGGTAGGAGCTGAGAAAAAATTGTTGATTTTTCGAAAAATTTGACATTTTTGACAGTTGGATTTTGTGTATGACTATAGCTGACCCCTATAGTTTCTAGATCCATCCCTCTATAATGATATTTATGGTTTAATAGTGTGGAACTAAGATGTAAAACATAATTTAGATGGGTTTTAAGGAAGTTAAAGGTTTTAAACAAGTCCAAAATTTGAAAAATTGTAAATATAAGGTTTCAAATTTACAAATTCCAGGTATAGCCATGGCTGACCCCTATAGGTTCTAGATCCATCCCTCAATGTTGATATTTATGGTTTTATAGTGTGGAACTAAGATGTAAAACATAGTTTAGATGGGTTTTAAGGAAGTTAAAGGTTTTAAACAAGTCCAAAATTTGAAAAATTGTAAATATAAGGTTTCAAATTTACGAATTCCAGGTATAGCCATGGCCGACCCCTATAGTTTCTAAATCCACTCCTCTTTGGTGATATTTATGGTTTTGTAGTATGGAACTAAAGATGTAGAACATAATTTAGATGGGTTTTAAGGAAGTTAAAGATATTTAACAAGTCCAAAATTTGAAAAATTGTAAATATAAGGTTTCAAATTTACGAATGTTAGGTATAGCCATGGATGAACCTTATGACTTTTTCATCCATACCTCTATGATGAAACATATATTTTTAGAGTGTGCAACTAAGAAGTAAAACATACCGAAGATGAATTTTAAGGAAGTTTAAGAATTTTAACAAGTCCAATGTTTGAAAAATTGAGAAATATCTGGTCTCAAAGGAGCACGGAAAGTATTGCAACATATTTCAGACAGTCATATGTTAGATTTTGTCTATTTCCTGAGGATTTAAGCAGGTGCATATGATAGGCCATTGCATTACCTACAGGAAAAGAACTCTTAGAGATGATAAAATAGTTTGGACTTTGAGACAGCGAAGGTGCAAACAATCAACCCACATGTTTTTTCGGAAATGTTGTCCTGATGTTCAAGCCCTTTCACCCCCGCTTTTTCAATTTTTGTTGCATCAATATGTTGCGTTTTTAGACATAGTTAACCCATAAAAAGGAATAATAAATTTCTTTTAGATAAAGCAGAAAACAATATTTTCCTGTTATTTTCCCATAGGGAAAACTCATGTGCTCCATTACTTTCAGCTTAATTTTGGTCACCCATATTTGATATATTTTAAACCCCTGATGGAATGCATTATTTCTTTAAAGGGCTTAACTGTGTGTCAAAACACAACATATTGATGCATGTGGGTGGGTTGTTTGCACCCTGTCTCAAATAGAAATTATTTTATCATCTCTATGAGTGCTTTTCCTGGAGGAAATGCATTGGCCTAACATATGCACCTCCTCAAATCCTCAGAAAATAGCAAAAATCCAACATGTGACTGTCCTAAATCTGTTGCGATACTTTCAGTCCTCCTTTACGATTTCAGGTATTGCCTTGGATGTCTCTCTTTTTGAATGTATGACTTTTTAGCTTAGAAATTAGATGTTGAAAATGTTGTGGTGAGGTTTGATCCATGTTACAAGTATTGTTAAAAGAAAAATCATTAGAGTTGAGGACCTTACCCTAGAGTTCCTAAGGGGGTGAGAGGTTAATAAATCCCCCCCCCCCCCCTAAAGTGTAACTGCTCTTAGGGATATCAGATACAGTGTAGTAATTGATTGATTAAATGGATTATAACTAATTAATTATTATTTGATGATATTTATTATGTGATATGGCATTTTTACTTTTTACATCAACATGTTTGATGTAATGTTCTACATTGTCAAAATACATCAAGACATGGTTAATTAAAAGAAACATGATTTCTCTATATTTTGTTATGCCCATACTGTAATTAAGCAATGATCATCTCCTAATACAAAATATTATTATAAATTATCAAATTATAATCACTACACTCCCAATAAAACAACTTGTCATCAGGCAACAGCAATTATTTGGGAAATAAGGATTTTTTTTTGTAGTATTTATTTTATTTCAGTTTAAAACTTCTTACATTTTACATTTTAAAGCAACCTCCAAACATTCTTCCTTTCACACCATACATTCCTACCCATCCATACCCTCTCATCTTTCATACATCCCAGTCAGACACATGCATACTGTAAATGTCACATAAATATAGAGGAAAAATCATGCCATAAAATAAAGCATAGAACGCTATTTAAAGTTAGAAATCATAATTATCTAATGTGGAGCCCTCGGAAAGATACGCCCTATACCCCAAGTATGATATAGGCTCTCTTCTAAAAATCTTCGTATGCACATAGTACTTGTAAATTAAAATAGCAAAATTGAATTCTTTGAAAAGTAAGTTCCCAAAATATCCCACTATTACGTGCTGTTCCTTTAATTCTATACCCTTTGGCTCCCAATGCATTTTCATGTTTTTAATGAGAGGTTGTACATTTTTGCAAATCCAGAACCGGTGCTGAACAGTTTCTTCCTCCCCACAAAAGTCACACGAGCCATTTTTCCTTATCTTTACTCTTTTCAGATACAGGTTTGTCGCGTAAATATTATTAATGATTTTATACTGCAGCTCGCGAAAAAAATTGTTCTTTGTTACTCTGTAAGCCATCGAACATATGTCATTTACTGAGACATTGAATTGCGAGGCGCTTTGTTGCACACTTTTGGATAAAGTAAAATTATTTTCATTTATACATGACTGAATAAGCTTTGTGGTCAGCTGTGAAATATCGAAAATCTTACCTGCAATATGGATAGATTCCAATCTGGGCTCATAGTTTGATACACTTATCATTGTGCGGTCGCTTTTTAATAAGGAGATCCACTTCGATGGAATGGCTGATATAATTCCCATATAGTCTAGAAAGTTAATATTTATCGTGAATTTCAGATTGAAATCCCGATGGCTTAAGAATTTGCCCTCTTCGTCTAAAAGATCTCGTATTTGGACT